CCAGATTTGCCCTAATCCAGGACAAAGGAATCCAGGCTACATTTAACTTTTTTATCATTAGAATTTCTCTTTTGAGCAGAGGTCAAAAAGTGCACAAAAAAATCCCCTCTTGTGGTCAAATGTTTTTCATATAATGCAGCATTTAAAAAGCCTTTATGAACTGAATATTTTCTAAAAGTGTCTGAAATTATGCTATAATTATTTTTCTTTTCTGCAGCACAGCTTCCCTCTGGAATATGCATTGAAGGTGCATAAAGCCACCAACTGAAGTCAGAATCGAAGGGGTTAATAACTATTTTGACTAACTTGAAAATAAATTTTAGAGAATTCTTGCACAGGATACTGCCTATATGGTATTCCCCCTAGGTTGACCCTTATCTGTTTAAAAAGCTCTAAGCTTTGACTCTTTTTTATATATAGTTCTTTAAATAATTCTTAATCTTCCCATGGGTTTTGAGACATGGGGTGCTTGTAATGGATAGCCCATGAAGCTTTTCAAATCAATACAATTTGTTCATGAATTTCATAGATGAAAGTTTTTAGAAAGCAAAGGAATTGATATACTGGTATTCAGGACATAATTATGCTGTTGTGTGATATGTATTTAAGCAGATTTCACTGTAGAAACTTCTCTCTTTTCTGGCAGAGCTTTTATCTCAGTTATCAGGCGTGAGACGTTCTGCAGGGCAGCTCAATTCTTCTGGCCCTTCTGCTTCTCAGTTACAGTCAGCTGCAGATGCAACTGCAGTTGGAAAGACAGCATGCACAGGCAGCAAGACAACAACTGGAAACTGCACGCAATGCCACTAGACGCACTAACACAAGCAGCATACCCACCACTCTTACACAATCTATAGCAGCAACCAACACATCTAACACAGAAAACAATCATCAGACTATACAGAATTCCCAGTTTCTTCTTATGAGGTAATTTGGTTTGTGGTTTTGACTCTTCTTCCATTTCTGTTTTACTTGTCTTGTTGTGGACATAGAGTTCAGTGAGACTACTGCCAGATCACTAATGAAGATTGTAGTTGAGATACTATGCTTTTGTTTGCATTTGTAACATCACCTTTTCAACCCTGCTGTTTGTTCCTAGGCAATGAATAAATATTACTTGTTTTTCAATTTGAAGAGAAAACTATGGGATATTGCCTTGTTAACCTGTGTTTGTTTACCCTTCTGATAAGACAAGAGCCTTTACAATAATATGTTTCAAACTTTTATGCTGATAATGTGAGTGGAGAGAACTTTAAAGTTAGTTTTATTTAATAGGAAATGAATCTTTAATGAAGGCTGAAGGTTGAATAGAGATTTATATATGAAATATTTTGGATTAAAAAACAAAGGAGGATTGTGCTATTAATAACCAGCATGCATATCTGTTTCAGAAAGTATAGTTAGAACCTACAGTTCTATAGAACAGAATAGTTCACTTGGAAGAGACCTACAATCATCATCTAGTCCATTCTACTATAGAAGAGTTGCCCACTCTCATTCCAGCTCTTTTCGGAGGTTTAGAATATTGATTTTCTGGATTCAAGGGGGAGGATATTTTTAAATTGCATGTTGAGAAAGAACAAAAGCATTTAAAGAGTTTCTGTGTCTAGAAACTGGGGTTGTGATAAGTTATTGCTGTCATGCTGATTTCTATCAAAACTTGTGATAATATCTCAATCCAAAGCTTTTTGAAAATCATAAGTTTAAGGAAAGTATCTGCAAATGTCAGTCACTGCTCTTGTGAGCTAGGATAGAACTGAAGCAAGCAATTCTCTTGCTTCTATTAGGTGATGGTGCATGGACTGATAAGTAAAGAGAATAATGTACTGTGCTTTGGGAATCTCTGGGCATTATGTGTTTAGTAATGTATTTTGTGTCATGCTTGCATTTAGAAGTTGTCCTGGGGACAAAATTAACACTTAAGAGATGACTAGAGAATTTTAATGCCCCTTAAAACAAAATCTCTCTGAAGGGAAACAAACTTCAGAAATAGATTTTATTTTCCCTTCAGCCTTAGAATCTACTTCTATGAAGGATTTTTTTGGAGCATCTTGGAACAAGTTTGTTAAATGTTTGTATTCTTGCATCAGGAGTGGCAGATAATGTCAGATCTGTACATGTCAAGAGAAGTGCAGCAGTACCTAGGTTGTTTCTCAAAGGAATGGCTTTCAGATGTTATTCAGCATGCATCAGTCCAACTGTTCAGGCAATTAGAGAAAGCCAATTTTGTTGATGATGCTACTAAGCTTGTCTTATCTTTCTGTGTTGCTCTGCAGGTTGAATGATCCCAAGATGTCAGAAGCAGAGCGTCAATCAAAAGAAAGCGAACAGGCAGATCACAGCTTGTTTGTTCAAGAGCTTCTACTGTCCACTTTGATGCAGGAAGAAAGTTCCTCCTCAGATGAGGATGAACGGGGAGAGATTGCTGATTTTGGTGCTATGGGCTGTGTAGATATTATGCCTCTAGATGTTGCTTTAGAAAACCTAAATTTAAAAGAGAATAATAAAGGAAATGAGCCTCCTCTTTGATGGCTTCCTACTTTGCAGACAATGTCCTCTGTGCTGTATTTGCCAATGAAAGTGGACAACAACTATCTTGGGTTTGTTTTGGTGATTGTAATTTCAGGTCTGTCACTCTTGTTACATTGTGTACATTCAAAGGAAAAGAGAAAAGATATATACGATAATCATTTCCACTTAACCAATTTTTACTTTTAGCAGATAAATATAGGTTGCAGTGCAGAGGAAAAAAAAGCTCTGTGTCCTGTAGCTTGACGTGCAAAAAAGCTCTCCTAATACTCCACATTCAAACTGAAGAGGAAAAAATGAAAAAATCTCTAATGAAGCTGCTGTGTGTATTTATGAATATTAATGAATAAAACTTGCTTGGATGGTTTACCTTAACTACTGCATGATTTTTATTTCAGTGTGCATGAGTTTTAGTGACCTTGTAATTTAAAAAAAATCTAAGTACAAGGAGTAGAACTATAAAACGCTGTAGTGGTTTCCCATTCCCAAAACACCAAAGCTTTCCCATTATTCAAAGGTAATGTGACCAAAAAAAAAAAAAATTTAAGCTCACTAGCAGTTTGCAGCCATGAAGTAGCCTTTCAGTAACACATGACCAATGACCTTTTTATGTGCTGTCCCTGCGTATTAATGAAAACTCTACAATGGGCTATATTTTTGCTTACATAGTGTGACGTTTTGCTGTATTGTGACCACTGTGTTGTCCTGTTAGACATGATATCCAAGTGGAATTGAACTTTGTAGTCATCTGTAGGAGACAAAAAACAAGGGCCACTACTGGAATCTACTACAAAGGGCTTCTGTGTGCCCTAACACCAAATTTTGTTCAACTTTCTTTAAGTTTTCCTTTTTGTGTTAAATATACCTTATTTAAGTATAAATTATTCATATATTCACTGGTGAGGAGTGTGTGTTAACCTGGATTATGTTGTTTTAGTTTTAAGACTTCATAGTCCTTATAATTTTGAGTTATTTATGTATTTTCTTCATAGTTTACAGAGACTCCTTAGGAGAGACTGAGGATTTGACTTCCCAGATATCTCCATATGTTACAATTTGGATTCTTAATGTTAACTTGCTATCAACCTTGGTGAAAGAAACATGACACCTGGTCTGGATGAGATTTGGGTCTTGAATAGAAACATGATAGGTTGCAAACTAAGCATAGGATGTGCTCAGCAGTCTGGCCTTGGCACACAAAGGTAATATTTTAATAGTGATTCTACACAAAGTGCCAGCATGATTGCTTAATTGACATGCAATGAGTCTGGAAGAACTCTGAGCTTTGACAGTACTTCTAACTTGTCTATCTCTCTCTTCTTTTAAAGAAATGGGAGCTTTTTTTAACCTATCTTGGGCATATTATTTAAGGGTATGGACTGTTACAGATTACTTATGGACACTTTAGCTTGCCTCAAAAGCCAAGTGTCTACATGTGCATGCATTTCTGTCTTGGAGCCCCTGTCTGTTCATAGAATTGTGGAATGGTTGACATTGGAAGGAACATCTGAAGGTCCCCATGTCCAACTTCCCTGATCAAGCAGTACCTCCTAGAGCTGGTTACCCAGGATCATGTCCAAGAGGCTTTAGAACATCTCCAAGGAGGGAGACTCTACAACCCCACTGGGCAGCCTGTTCCAGAGCACAGTCACCTTGACAGTGAAAAAGTGTTTCCTGATTCTCAGACAGAACCTCCTATGTTACAACTTGTGCCCATTGTCTCTTGTCCAGTCACTGAGCACCACTGAAAAGAGCCTGGTTCCATCTTGTTTTCATCCTCCCTTCAGGTATTTATATACATGGGTGAGATGCCCCCTGAGACTTTCTCTAGAATGAACAGTCCCAGCTCTCTCAGCCTTTCCTCATAGGAGCTCTAGTCCCTTGATCATCTTCATGGCCCTTGGTTGAACTGTCTCCAGCATGTCCACATGTCTCTTGTAATGAAGCACCTAGGTGTAAGTCAGCACAGGAAGGCAGCTGGGACAACCACAATCATATGACTAAAACACAAAGAGTAAATTTTTTTCCTGTTACCTTGCTGACCCAGGGGATTCCTGAAGCAATACCCAAGCAGAAGCGCACAAGTGGAGAGACAGGCACCATTAAACTCAGTCCATGACAGAGGATCACTGGCTGCTGTTCACACTGGTTTATCAAGGGTTATTCCCAGCTGCAAGGTCACTTGAGCAATTTACAGTCCTCCTTGCCAGTCTTCCACTTTTTAACCTATTCCTCCCTGTGGGATCTCAGCACATCACTGTGGATGTGCTCAGGACACTCAGAGGAGGTGGCCTCTCCCGATCCGCGGGGACCTGAAGGGGATGGGGCGGGAAAAGTGGCTGAATCGGAAAGGAGGGTCGAAGGGGGATTGGAAGGAGATG